CTTGGCGTTAAAAAGTATATCTTAGTTTGTATTGACAATTTTTTAGATAACTTGGGTTGTCTTCCTACGTGAGACAAAAAGAAATTGAAAGTTAATATGCCGATGATTGATTTTGTGGAAGAGTTTGGCAGTCATAAGTTTATTGCATATTGCGATAGATTAGGAATTAAACATAAGTTCAACTCTGAAAAATCCACAACAAAATAGAGTGGTAACTGAATAATTGAAGTCTACATAAAATGACAAGATTCATAATGCAAACGAGAGGCATGAAAAAGTTCTTATGGGATGAATCTATAAACACAGCTTGCTCTATGATTAATCACGTATTTTTTAGACCACATATTGAGAAGACTCTATATGAGTTTGAAGGAAATAAGCCCAATGTTTGCTACTTTCACATATTTAACTGTAGATGTTACATTCTGAAGGATCAAGATCAACTCCACAATTTCGATGCAAGATCAACTGAGAGCATATGCATGGCTTATTCATAGAATGGTAGAACCTATAGAGTCTAAAATAATCATTCGAAAAAGATGATAAAATAGATTAATATGATGTTTGATAATGCAAATATAAAAAATAGATCATTTTCATCGAAGTGATGATGATGATGATGATGATGTTGCTACTCCTATTCTAATTATTTGGGATCCTATTAAGAATCATAATGATCAACGTCTGAACATTTAGGATGACATTGCAGAAATTTTGCTCAGATTGATTTGTCAAAACCAGAGTTTTTTTCTGATGTCATTCTCAAGCATATGATATTTCCAAGTTTTGGAGTCCTTCATATTGTTTTCAAAAATTAAGGTACCAAGTTAAAGAATAAGCTACTTGAAGATGTTCTCACTCAATATAGGGTTCGTCAATATCTAACTACTACCTATCATCCTTAGCCTAGTGGTCAATTTGAAGTTGCCAATATGAACCTAAAACATATCCTCGAGACAATTGTTAACAAAATTCAAAAGAACTAGTCATAGAAGTTAGAAGACCCCATGTTGGCCTATCGGACTATATTTAAAAATCTTATAGGGATATCCCCTCAGGCCTTATTTACGGGAAAACCTACATATACCTCTAAAACTTTAATATTACTCTTATTGGGTCATTAGGTTTATGAAATTTTATATATTGTCAACCCAATATAAGCGAACTATTCATCTTTTAGATCTAAGCGATTTCTCTTATCTAGCTTGTGAGAACACCAAGTTATATATAAGGAAATGAGAAATTTATTTTGACAAAATGACCCGACACATAATTCTTTGGGGGATCGAAAGTACTTTTATATGTTTCTAAACTCTTTTTTTTTTTTTTATATGGGAAACTCCAAACCTATTGGATTGGACCCTACCTTGTAAGGAAGATTCTCTTAGTGGAACCACTAGAATCATAGACTCAAATTCAACATCAGAAAATGATAAGATTCTTGTTAATAGAGCAAAGCTTAAGACTTACATTGAAGGACATGTCTTAGATGAAATGTAAGAATAAACTTGACATGCACACTACCCTCTACTCCAAAACATTGTTAGTATCCTTTAAAACTCCTCAAATTTAGAATTTCCTACCAATATCGTTGTTTAGTGCTTTAAATTATCACTTACATAGTTGAGATTATTGCTTTCATAGTATAGAATATCACATTTGTCGTTCATGTTATCACTTTACTTAAATCCATTTTATTAGTCTAATACGCTAGAATTTTTCTTTTTATCCAGTTCATTCTACTATTTTTTTGGTAGGTTTATTGTGACACCCCGGCTCGCAAGCCACGCAAAGTCGGGCATATCGGGATCACAGCCCCCTTTTGTTCTCACTCATGCACATCCTAAACGACTTCTCAGGGGGTCACCCATTTTCAATTTACAGTTAGAGCAAGCATGTTTAACTATAGAGTTCTTTCAGTAGGGCTCCCGAAAAAGAATGTGCACATTGTTGACATGAGTAGTCTTTTCAATTCATTTAACCTCTATTTAACTTCAGATGGTCTAATACCAGCTCATCGACACATGGGAGTTGGCCAAGCAACGAACAAACTCCGTGGGATATCACATCCTCCCCCACTTTAAAATGCAACGTCCACGTTGCATCCCAAGGATCGTCGACTTCTAGGCCCCTCAACAGTCAGGTCAACGACTATGGACTGTTGCAGGTCAGCTTTGATACCAATATATGTAACACCCTAAATAAAAAAAAAAATCTTGAAATGTCACATGCCAACACCACAACAACATCACATAAAAAATAAAAACATGACGTGCCCCGATGCTAAGGCGAAAACATCATAATAGTTAGTGTAAAAATTTTTCTTTGCTAAAATCTTAAAATATATTTCCAACACCCTTCAGAATTTCAAAAACATTTAATCGTTAGAAGTCTTTACATGTATTAAAAAGTCTCAATGCATATAAAAAATAAGGATCTAAAAAATAGGGAGTATGTAAAATCATAAGTTTGGATATTATTCAATAAAATGTCATGCATGCTCAATAAAGTCACATCCCTATAATGCATCAAGATGAAGGTCCGGAAATCAACTATGCATGGAAGAGGGTAGTAAACATCAGTTAAAGTTGAGTAAGGAATTAAATATACAAGGCACGAAATAATTTACCAATATTAAGAATGATAGCTATACAACCACTACAACTAGCCAAAATCCACGGCTCATAACACATCAGCTAACTTGTCAATAAATGACTATGTCTAGCCAAATTCAAAACTTAACGAATTATGAATCAACTTGCCAATCAACGGCTAAGTCTAGCCAAATTCACGACCTAACGAATTATGATTCGACTTGGCAATCAATGGCTAAGTCTAGCCAAATCCACGGTATACACAAATTAACAATCAACTTGTCAATCAACGGCTAAGTCTAGTCAAATCTACGGCATACACAAATTAATAATCGACTTGCAAATCAATGACTAAGTCTAGCCAAATCCACGATATACACAAATTAATAATCGACTTTTCAATCAATGCCTAAGCCTAGCCAAATCCACGGCATACATAAATTAATAATCGACTTGTCAATCAACGGCTAAGTCTAGCCAAATCTACGGGATGCACAAATTTAATAATTGACTTGCCAATCAATGGCTAAGTCTAGCCAAATCCACGACATACAAAAACTATAATCGACTTGTCAATCAACAACTATGTCTAGCCGAATCCACGGCTTACAAAAATTATCAATTCTTAATAGCAAGTTCACTACATATCATATAAAGAAATATAATTATACTAACCTATTTAACTAAGGCACATAGTTAGATGGTTAATTCATTTCAAATATACATAATTTAACCCGTTACCTACTTAGGGAAAGCTAACAAACTCTACCATCGAATCTTGGCACTTGGTTCGTTCGGACTTCACCTGATCATCAAATTCGATAAATCAACCTACTCAAATTTAGGGCAGATCTTATAAAATTCACCACAAATTCATCATTTGCTAAAATATTATGAAACTAGTGCCAAATCAAGATAACGTTCCTAAATTATATTTCAAATACCAAAAATGCAATTATTAATTTGAATTACATCCAGAAAATCATATTAACTCAAATAGTCTGTTTATTTCCAAAAAATAAAACATTTGTATTATAAAAATAACTAAAACTCCATTTTACATCCAAATGAGATAAATTTGGTCTCTAATGAAAGATAGCACATATATCTATATTCCTAATTAAACAAAAATACAAAAAAAAAAAAAAATTCTAGAAAGAACATAATAGAAGTTAAACATATTTGTCAAGAAACAGGGTGTGTAACTTGAAAAATTTATATAAAATTCATTTTATATTCAAATGGAACAAACTTGGTATATAATTAAAGGTAACACAAATATATACATTTAACATGAAACAAAAGTGTGAAAATTACATTCAAAAGTTACAGAAAATCTGTCGAGCACTCTTTAATCCTTTTTCGTCAATAAAAATGAATGTGTAACTTTAGAAAATTATATAAAATTCACACATGTTATGAAATCTGATAATATGTAAAAGTGAAATAAAATCTTGAAAAATATGAATATGGTTTTAAAAAATTAAGTCCGTTGATTAAATAAATAAAATAATTTTAAATAATACACACATGTTATGAAATTGGATTTCAAGAGTAAAGAAGAAGGAAGTATGAAACTTACTCCAAAATCACCTCAACTTTAGTGAGAGAGAAGGGGTGGCGGCTAGGGTTTTCCTATGAGTGTTTGGGAATGAAATAAAGGTTAAATATAAGGGATAAAGTAATATTTAATATTTAAAAGTGGAGTTAAAATCACATTGATGTTTTTGAAAAACGTATATGAGTATACAACAGACCTTTGAGTACTATTTTAGCTATAACTCTTTCGTTTGGACTCAGATAGACTCACAGTTTGCAACGTTGGAAAGGTAACTTAAAAAATATCCAATAACATAAATTTTATAAAAATAAGATATGAATTATAAAATCTACACCCCTTTGAATTTGACATATTGACAGTAACAACTTTAAGATATTTAATTAACAAAACATCTAATGGGTCAATTCGATTATAGATTGAGTATTGTATCCTAAGCACCTTAAAAGAGATTTCATCCCTGAAATCAATCCTCTAATCCATTACAAAAAAAAAAAAAAAGAAAAACAGATCGAAAACAACACAACAGTTCCCCTCATGGTCTCCCAACTAATAAAACAATTTGTTTCCAAACTTTGGGATTCAATACCGTGTCATCATCAACAACAACAACATAAGAACGAGCCAAACAACGATATTCATAAGAGCATCAATAAATATCTCATCTAAATTCATATCAATAATTCAAACGGTATCAAATCACAAAACACGGCATATAATCACATACGCAATCAAATCACATGCTAGTATAAATCTCATAAAAGGTAGACACAAAATGTACTAATATAATCACACAAACATACCAAAGAGCTCAGGATAGGCTCTCGTATCAAATTCTCTTGCTCCCATTAAGCCTCTTCGATTTCATGATGGTTCCAAAACACCTTCACAAGGTATATCTCTTTGTTACTCAATATTTTCACCCTCGAATCTAAAATCTGGACCAGTTTCTCATCATAGCTCAAACCATCCTCCAAAACAACCTCATCGGGCTGGAGTATCTTAGTCTCATCGGCGATACAACGCCGAATTTAAGACACATGGACACATTATGGACCTTAGCTAACTCGCTAGGTTACTTCTACCGATAACCAACTTCCCAACATGCTCCAACACTGTATAAGGTCCAATATGCCGGGGACTCAACTTCTCTCGGATGCCAAATCTCTTGACACCCTTCATAGGGGATACACGAAGCAACACTCGGTCACTAACCTCAAACTCTCCATCTCTACGTCCTTGATTGGCATAATTTTTCTGTTGGCTCTGGGCAGCATGGATTCGATCCTGAATCACATGAATGTGTTGAGTTGTCTCTTTAACCAACTCAGGCTCCAATAGCACTCTATATCTTGGATCTTCCCAACATAATGGGGTACGGTATCAACGCCCATATAGTACCTCAAACGGTGCAACCTTGATGCTGGTGTGATAACTGTTGTTATAAGAAAACTCATTTAATCCCAACCGGTCAGCCAAAGCCAACTGAAATTGCAATACAAAAGCCCTCAATATATCATCCAATGTCTTAATGGTACGCTCCATCTGACTATAAATCATTGAGTGAAAGGCAGTGCTAAAATTAAATTTAGTCCCAAAATCCCTCTGCAACTCCTTCCAAAAGTGGGACATAAATTTGGAATCACGATCCGATACAATATTAGTTGACACTCCGAAGTATTTCACCACATCCTGCACATACGCCTCAGCCAACCTAGTTATCGACCAATCCTTCCTGAAATGAATGAACACTCATGTTTTCAACAACCGATCAACAACAACCAAAATAGAATGAAATTGATTCTTACTTACAGGTAAGCCAGTCACAAAGTTCATCGCAATTGAGTCCCACTTCCAACTTGGAATCTTAAGCAGTTGTAACAAGTTCATCGGTCCATGATACTCAATCTTCAATTTCAAACATACTAATATCGAGCCACATAATCCTCCGCATCCTTCTTCATACCGGGCCACAAAAAAGTTGCACGTAAGTCTTTGTACATCTTGTCACCCCTAAGATTCACTGATTATGGTGATGCATGAGTTTCATTCAACAATCTCCCCTTCAATTCTCTGGCACTCTCTAGAATGCACTATCTCCCTAAACGGAGGCTTCCATCACTAGCGATCTTAAACTCATTTGTTTCCTTGAATTTGCCCTCCTGAACTTGTTCCATAAACTTAAGAAATCCGGGGTCCGTTTGTTTCCTTTCACGAATCTCATCATATAATGATGGTGCCGCCAACAACGCACCCAATACAACCAGTTTAGGGCCCAGAGAAACTGTAACACCCCCAGTTGGCTCATACTGGAAATGCTACCGCCACACTGCATCATGAGGTCGTCACCTCCTACTTCGGGCCCCACAACACAGTGTTAAGGCTAAAATTAATTATATAAGCATTTTATTATTTCCAAAAAAAACAAGTTTATAAATATTTACAAAAACATACTCCTAAAACGGGAGGTTTTTCTAGTTAGAATTTACATATAATACATCAGATGCAGTTCACTCATTCAGCCCGTCTTTCTATCTCCCGAGACGTCCCTTGTTCCGGAGGTGCCATGCGTACCTGAATCAAATATTTTTCTTAAAAGCAGTCTAGAATTAAATCCATTTTAAGAACTAACATAAAATATGCCATGTCATGCTCGAAAATAGAGTTTAATTTCCGTCATTTGCAAAATAAATGCCATGCCATGCCCATACTGAAATAATGTAACAATAATGTCAAAATCGACAACCCATGCACATATACCCATATACATATGTCAAAGTGAGCAGCCGGAATAACCTCGGCTCCATAATAACAGCTCACTAGACTATCATCAATAAATAGCCGGAAAATCCTCGGCTCAAGGAAGGACCTGGTAAACCCATAATAATATAACGGTCACCCGGTCACTCCCATATACCCACCATACGACTCCCGCAATCAATACATGGATAGTCGAACGTTGTCGCCATTAACCACAAGACACCCCATAGTCTGTGATAGCGAAGATAGGACCCTCCTGTCTAGCCCTACCCCGTGTAACGTAGTAGAATCCGTGCAATCTGGAATCACCCGAAGGAAACCCGGAAACTCTACTCCTCCTCGCACGCCCTAACGGGATCGCGTTTGGAGTTTGGCATCTGATCCTAAACTACCGGTAGACCTCACTAGTAGCTACTCCAATGAGTGGAACAACACCGAACCCGAATGATTAGACCAAATACGTCTCAACTGCAATGGGTCTAATCCCTGAATGACCGTGCGACTAAGTCACCCAGTTGCCCGACTACTATCGTCCACTATCGCCAAAGTGTTACGGTACATCGGGGTCGAATATCCTAACCCCAGATGATGCCCTCGCCTAGCACTACCGCACACGGCGACTAAACGATAGATCCATAAAACATATCCGATAAATCGTGCAATGTGTGCAGCATGTCAATAAGTGAATTTAATGAAAAGGGCTGGTGAGACAGCCCACCTATCCTCCTTTTTATAAATTCACCAACACGATCAAATACGTATATCAAATATCGTAAAACGAAGTTTCACACATGCATATACACACACATATATACATATATAGATGCACTGACCAAATGATTCCACATAATATCATATCAATATCAGAATCAGAATCACATGCAACATAAATACCTAATTTCTTAAAATTAGATTTAATTCCCTACTGCTTACCTCCTACCGATACTTTCTGGATTTTTATAACTTCACCCAAATCTCCTCCAACGTACACCTGTCCCATTATTTACTCAAATCAGATGAGCTTTATGCTTATTCTCAGGAGCTACCTGCTTATTCAAAAGCTAATTTCTATAATTAACTCATCGGGCTCCAAACTTTTATATTTAGTAGAATATGATATTCTAGCTATAAAATCCTTCTACCTCATAATATTTATATTGCCCGATTATTAAATAAAAATACGCAAAGGTATGAACAAGCAGGTAGGTGCGATATACTGCCGTTTTTTATTCGACTTGGATTGGTACGAAATTCTCAAAATATAACGTCGGCGCTACGAATAGGCTATTAGCTAAAGAAATTCATCGATTAAATAGCTAAATAGCCAATTTTGAATTTTTGAAGAATTTCTAATTTAATATTCCCAATATTGAAATTCATATTAAAATTTATAATCGGACTCTACGAATAGCAAGGAATACCATACCCAAGTCGGAATTGGAATCGGACGGCTAAATCTTTTTCTTCCTTTTTTTTTTCTTCTCCTTTCTTCTTCTCCTTCGCGTTTCGTCTTCTGCGTTCCTTCGTTTCGAGGTAAGGTTTGTTTGATTTTTATATATATTATGTATAATATATATACACATATATATTATATTATTATTATTATATTATATTATATTATATTATATTATTATTAACATTAACATCTTTATCTTCTTTATTTATTTATTATATTATATTATTAAATTATATATTATATTTTATATTTATCCTCATTGATATTATCCGTTTAACAGTCTATTTAATTATAACTAATATACAAAATTGGAATATAATTTATCCCAAAATATTAATTTCTTGATTTCATTACTATTGTCAAATATTTATTTGCTATAATAATATTATTTTATACATTCCGAAATCGGGGCATTACAATCCACTCCCCCTTAAAAAGATTTCGTCCCCGAAATCTAAACTCAAACACATAACAAGGCAACTTAATTAAACAATTGTGGGTATGCCTTGAACATTTCTTGTTCTACTTCCCACGTGGCCTCTTCCGCTCCATGTCTGGACCACATTACTTTCACCATACGAATATCTCGATTCCTCATGGTTCGGACCTTTGTGTCCATGATCCACAGAGGCTTTTCTTCATACGAAAGATCTTCATTCAGCTCTATCTCATCTGGAGATAAAATATGAGAAGGATCTGCAACATACCTACGAAGCTGAGATATATGAAACACATCATGGATACGCTCCATAGAATTTGGAAGTGCCAACCGATAGGCCCAATCACCAACTCGATCGACAATTTCATAAGGTCCAACATAACGCGGACTCAATTTTCCTTTAATCCCAAACCTTCTAATACCTTTCATTGGGGATACTTTCAATAAGACAAAATCTCCACTTTGAAATTGACCCTCACGTCGGGCTCTATCGGCATAACTCTTTTGACGATCTTGAGCTGCCTTCATCTTTTCTCTGATAATTCGAATCTTATTTTTCGATTCCTCAATCATTTCCGGACCCAGTATCAGTCGATCACTCATATCGTCCCAACTCAAAGGAGTTCTGCATTTTCGACCATAAAGAGCTTCAAAAGGAGCCATTCCGATACTTGCTTGATGGCTATTATTATATGAAAATTCCACTAAATCCAAGTGGTCTTCCCAACTCCCTTGAAATTCCATAGCACAAGCTCTTAGCATATCTTCCAGAATACGGATAGTTCTTTCTGACTGACCATCAGTCATAGGATGGAATGCAGTACTCATATGCAACTGAGTACCAAAGGCTTCCTGCAACTTTTGCCAAAATCGAGATTGAAAACGTGGATCACGATCTGATATGATCACCTCAGGAATACCGTGTCGTTTAACCACATAATGAACATATAATTTGGCCAATTTCTGCATACTCCAAGTCATACGTACTGGAATGAACACTGCTGACTTGGTCAATCTGTCTATAATCACCCAAATTGCATCTGTTCCCGACTTTGACCTTGGAAGTCCTGTTACAAAATCCATTGCGATAGAATCCCATTTCCAGAGTGGAACTTCTAAAGGTTGTAGCAACCCCATTGGTCTATGATGTTCTGCTTTTACCTTTTGACAATTTAAACATCGTGCAACGAATTTGGCTACATCCTTCTTCATGCCCTTCCACCAAAAATGTTGACGTAAGTCTTGATACATTTTATTTCCCCCCGGATGCACTGAGTATGGTGTATTATGAGCCTCACTCATAATCTGCTCTTTCAAATCATTTCGATCCTTTGGGATACACCACCTCCCGTGAAATCGAAGACTCCCATCTGGAGCAATATTAAAATTTTGAGTTTGACCGTACTGAACTTTCACTGCAAGCTCAACCATTTTATTATCTTCCATTTGAGCCGCTCTAATGCGATCATAAATTTCAGGCTCAACTTGTATCATTTGCAAATATCCCCGAGTCATACCCCGTCCAAGTACCTCAATTTCCATCCGCGCTAAATCTTGGCACAGTTCATCAGCAACCGACATGAAGCCCAAGTTATGCCTTGGTTTTCGACTTAAGGCATCGGCTACAACATTTGCTTTGCCTTCATGATACACAATTTCAAGATCATAATCCTTCACCAATTCTAACCATCTTCTTTGTCTTAAATTCAATTCTTTTTGGGTGAAGATATATTTCAAACTTTGATGGTCAGTAAATATTCTGCAATGGGCTCCATAAAGATAGTGTCTCCAAATCTTCAAAGCAAACACAACTGCTGCCATTTCCAAGTCGTGTGTCGGATAATTCTCTTCGTGAGGTTTTAGTTGTCGTAATGCATAAGCAATAACTCT